GAGATGCAGTCATGGAAAATGAATGAATGTGTTATGTGTAATTTATGGCAGTTAGGTATGCCAGTTCTGTTTCATAGCTGAATGCATGTGTTATGTTTGTTTACTAGCTTAGCTAATGTAGTTTTTATTTTTAGCTTATATGTCGTCTCCATGTCACATAGAGGTAATCTTGACAGAGAAAGAAGACATCGTTACAAAACCATCAGACGATGAAGCGTCGAAAAAGAAAAAGAAAGAGAGCAAAAAGAAACAGAAGCGACAATTGGCTCGTGGTGATTTCTCTATATAACAAAGTTTTTGTTAAAGTGAAAGATTAAAATATTTGTATTGAGGTTGTTGACGGTATATTAACTTGCCTTGAAGCGCCTATTTTCCTCGCCTACCCTGTGTAGTAATATAAACACGTTTTGTCCTGTAGAGTCACTTAAAGAATGGCTCTGTTTTTGACAAAAGTGACGAAGGCATTTGTGAGCACAGTGATTGGCGGCGGGCGTCGCTTTGCAGGAAGTGCGACGTACTTTACCCAGAACTTTTCCAGCTTTGGGGGATGTGAGCTGCATCATTTGTCGTTGTCTACGTCATTGATCTTCAGCGGAACGAAGATTCGAAACTCACTATTTACTGATGCCAGTTTGGGGCTTTGTGATTACGACTTGTTCGTGAAGGCGAAGAAGGAAAAACTTCAGTATTCCAAAGGTACGTGTGAGAACTAAGTAATTATGCTGAGTGAACACTTATCATATTGGAGCGTAACTTAAACATAATACTTAAAGCTATTCGATATTCGTCTTTGTGGAAAAATCTGTCATGATTGGTTTTCCAGTGATGTTCCAAAAGCACCAAAAGGGGAGAGAATGCTCCACTAGAGTGGTAAAACGTTAGGGATAAAAACTGTAACAAATTCTGTGAACTTCTCGGAATGATTTACCAGAGAATGTTGAACTTTTTCAAGCGTACCATCCTGACACGAAAGTACAGAAATTCCATCACTGTGGAAGCTGTGGAAAACTCACCATTTGAGGTGTAACTGATTAGGTGATTGTTCCCTTCTAGATCTGTGTTAAGATCCAGTGATCTCGATGAATGTTGATCGTGCTTTTAAAGTATGACAATAAAAGGAAATGAACAAACTTGTAAAGTTTCGGTTGTTGGAACACAATTTGGTTAGTGAGTTTAGTGATGAATGAGGGACATGAGTTAGTTATTTACAAATCTGTATTACCAGGTGTCTGTCGTAATGAACAAACGAAGCCATTGACTACCGGGCTTTGCGTTTTCTCAACAATTTTGCAATCGTCGTTTTCTATCAACGAGAACGTTCAATTTGCTTCAAGCGAGAAGTCTGCTTTTCCTTTTGGGAAAGGATTTGCATGTTCAAGCTTAGACTGAAACAGCAGACGTTTGCACCATTATAAATACGAGCACCCAATTTGGAATCACGTTATTAATGATTGAGACGCTATTTTATTCAAAGTTACAAACAGTGCAACGTTTTATTTCAGTTTTCGGATCATGTTACCAGCCCTTCTCAAGTACAAGCAATCAGTATGACAGCGGTACAGTAGCACGAGCTCGTCAGGATGTATTCACATTCAATTGAGGTTTTGCTTTTTGTTTGAAGCTTATACCAGTTAATATATATCCGTACAAAACCCGATGTCATGAACAAAGATGAAAGAGTTTATCTCATGTTCATGACGTAACTTTTGCAGACCCTCGACAATGAGCGTAAAGTCAGTTGTAAGTAGATCATGTCTCTGTGCTACCGTACCCACGTATATCACTGATTGTTTGCCGTTGAGAAGTTCGGGTAACAACATCCGAAACCTTGGTCGTGCATTAAAAATGCATGTCGCGTGTATTTTCGAATAAAATAATGTGCAACTCATGGATCAACTAGCTGTATCAATTATACGCGTCGCACCTTATTTGAGGGAATTAGGTGATGCTTTGAAAATATGGACGACATGAAATCAGTTCTCACCTTGTGTACTTGAATGTCCATGCCGGAACCGATGCCGCTGATGGAAATGGGCAATCCATACATTGACTTGAGTGGTAAAAAAATATTGGATTTACACGCGCGATTGTCCTGTGTGATACAGTGGGGTCAAATGTTCATTACTGTAGTACCTTCTAACATCGTGATGTCGTGGCCTGTACAAGTACCGCACTCCAGACAAGGAGGACAGGGCGATGTAATTCGCCGAGAAATCTGATCCTACAGGAGACATGCTCAGTTGAACGTACTTCGACGTACAAACATTTTAAGGCATATTATATTAAATATTGACATCGTCCGCAATATATTCATATTCATTTATTACACTGACGTAATCATCGTCAACTTTTGTCGATCCACTGCAAATGAATTCCCATCCAAGTCTGTGTCATAAACCGAATTTTCTGCGGTTTTCATCCATCTTGTCTAGCATCCTTCTCCAACGCATCCTACCGTCTATCTGGAGCTCTTTCTATCACCGTTTTCTCCTAGAACCCAGTCTGATGTTTCTCTGACCCAACGATTGTCGATTCTTCTTTCTATGTTTCCAGTCCATTGCCACTTTTCACTCTGGCAGTGACATCGTAGGCTCTTGTTTGTGCTTTTACCCGTTTTTTCTTATTCCTGACACTCCTGACAGCCTTTTCGTGCTGCGTTGCGTGGCCTGTAATTTATTTGCATTGTTCAAGTTTGGGGTCCACGTTTCACAGTCATAGGTCAGCACTGGAGGACACCCTTGTTTTAAACTTTCTAGAACGATGGTAGTTTTTCGGATAAGAATTTCTTCAGTCTTCGGTCAGAACACTCAGTCAAAAGTGTCCATGCCATTTTTTTCTTCTGTGGATTTCATAGAGTCGGTTCCAGTTGTCCCATGTAGACCTAGTTTTGCACCTTTTCAAACTTAGGTCCATTTGCTTCAACGCGTGAGTCTTCAAGTTTATTTTTAGTCCTATTTCGATGCTGGTGCCGTTCAGCTCTTCCATTCTTCTTTGAAGCTGTGGTAAGTTTTAGACTTCAAAGTATTGTTGGCTTAAGTATGCCCATTTTTCATCAATTCATGATTATTTCAATGGAATGTCTTGAAAACCTTTCTAATGTTGCTGTGAATAATTTTAGTGATATTGCGTCTCCCAGTTGAAAGCGTTTTTCGATTTTGAACTTGCCATGTGCATTCGTGGGTCTCTGCACCAGCAGTTGCATTCTTGTAAATCATGGCGATGAAATATCGATGTATTTTTGTTCGATTCTCTGGCTTCTCAAAGAATCCGGTACAGAACGGATATAAAATAGTCGGGAGCTTTCCAAACGTGGATGAACTCCAGGGAGAGAGGAAATTACTATTCGTTGCTTGTTCGAATTACTTGATGTGCCACCTGGAGTTGACCCGTCGTACTAATCTGCTTTATTATATTAATATACTCGTTGGAAAATAGCAGTAAAACCTCATGTCATTAAACCTTGATAGTGTTCAACATTCTTGTAACGATCATGTAATTTTAGAGGAATTTTGGCGCCGCATGGACAGCTATTTCGAAAAACATACCAGTTTGTTCGTGTACACGGACGACTTGAAAATGGCTATCGCATTGGCTGATTGCGACGAAGATTTTCAGCGTGTCATCAAACTGTGTCTTCGGTATGAGGAGCAGTCGGTAAAGATGAAATTGTTCGTCTACAACTTTGGACCTCTTGTGATGAGAATGTTTTACCGCTGTTGGAAACCGAATTTGGCATACGACATGATAAGGAACGAGGTTAGTGACCTAAGGAGTATAAACTTCAAATGCGTCACTTTATTTCTGCTTCTTTCGTCCCCTAGATAATTATTTATACCTCATGCGAAGTAACATTTTGTTGGTGAGGTTCGGAGTTTTCAATTAAACCTGACATTTGGAGTTTGAGTTTGGGATTCAAGGGTAAACTGCGAAGGACGAAAATAGTTTGCACGATATGTGGAGCACTACTGCAGCAAAACACATACGAATCTTCTGCGGATCTTGATATGGTGGTTTCTGTCGTTTGGACAAAATGGACCCTTTCCCGCTGAGGTGGTGTTGTTCTTGACCGAATATATGCTTATTAGCTATAGTTGATGTACGTGTGCTCGATACGCGTTTCTCAGGGCACTTGCAGGGCGATCATTATTCTTGCTATTAACACACCCTTATTCTTGATTGGTTCTCATAATATCTTTCATCACCCTCGTGTTTCAGATGCCCGTCTGTAAGTATTGACTTGGTTATGTACTTCCTGTTGGATTTTCTGTCTTTAAGCAGGGTTCACTAACGATAATGAAGGTTATTGCTAGAATATATTCATAATGAACCACTGCGTAGTTTCACTTGTTCCTTTTGTGTTACATGTGATCAGTGCTCCTTCTTATATATGTTTTTCTTTTCCTGTGTTACACAGTATTTGTGGCCATTTTTAAGAAAGAAGTAAATCATTCAGTGAATCAGTCAGTCAATTTCAGGCATTGATTCACCACATGCTCATTCTATTTTGGCTGTTCTTTAGCGATTTATTTACACGTTCGTTCATTCATTTGCTCAGGTTGTCATTCATTCTTTGAAAAATTTATTATTTATTATTCTCGTTCGCTTATCCATTAATTCGGCTCTTGCTCTTCGCTCTTTCGTCGATCCATTTATCTCGCTTATTTATTAATTCATTAAGACATTTATTGACTTATTTAGTTAGTCAGTTAATTATTCAGTCGTTGATAGCCCAGTTTACACACAAACTCGCTAATTCCCTCTGGTTCATTCGTTTGTTCCTTTTCACTTTCTTGCTCACTGTCTCCTTGAGTCACTTTCTCGCACACCACTTTCATTCATCTCGTTAGTTATTAAATTAAATCATCTTCATCTTACATCGCCGCTTCTCCTTTCGGGTCGCGGAGGCCGACGCGTCAGACAGAGCTTCCAGCGTTCCCGATCCTCTGCCAGAGTCTAAGCTTCGGCAAAAGACAAATGGGGTCTGGAACAGACTCCTTCCATATATTTGCACCAGGTTAATCTTGGCCGTCATTTAATTATTAAATTGTTTAGTTGGTTAATCGTTTTTTTCCGGCTGAAATCTTCTACTTATTACTCTTAATGGTAAGCTATAACGCGAATCACCGTGAAGTGCATCCACAGATATGATCGTCGCCCCTTTCACCCATTCTGTCATGACAAAACCAAAATACCATGCTGTCCCTATTTTTTCAGTTCCGCAACTTGCTACCCGTTTCTCGACTCGTTACACTAAAGCAGCGTGCAATTAATTCCTTGCTCAAGGGAGTTCACGGTTAAGACAGAGATTTTCCCTTCAGTGATTCGAACCCGGCGCCTGTGGAATTCAAATCTGATCCTGATCTCGAGGCTACTGTACCACCGCTCTCCAACTGTTCGTTCAACGATTCGATCATTCATTTAGCGCTTCGGTCTCCTGTTGACTCAATCGCTTTTTTCGATCGATCAGTCCTTCTTTTTGCACCTTTCACTCATTTGTTTGCTAATTCTGTTTTTTATTCATGTAGTCATTTGTTCATCATTCGTTTAGTCAATTTGTCATTTATTTGCTCACTCGCTCGTTTATTCTCGCAAGTTCTTGCGTAACATCTTGAAGGTACGACATTCCTCAGAATCACTGAATAACTGAAGTACGCAACTGCTGTATGAAGAACTATGTAAAGGCGCTTCATCTGGATCGATAAAACTTTTCAAAATACAGAGATGCCAAGAACTTTCGAGAACAACAGTGGGAGTGAACCGTGAGATGGAAAAAAGATTCGGCAGATTACAAACTGGCGAAACCTACTAGATGGAAATCTGTTTGCGACAAGGAATTATATCCACTGTCGAAGCAGTTTTAATTTTTCAAGTATTCTGAAGAATCATCTCCTACATGTTGAACTTAATCGGCATCATCAGCCCAGGGTCAACGGTGCTGTTACGCTTACTGCACCCCAGGTGATGATGGAAAAAAGACAACACTCTCGTCACTCTGTACACATTTATTCATTTGAATTTTCGTTTGCTCATTCATTCTATCACTCGATCATTCACCCTCTTTCCCTTTTCATTTGTCCTTTCACTCAGTGGTCTAACTTTTTACTCGTACGTTTTCTGATTATTTCATTTACTCCTTCCGTCGTTTGTTTTTGTCTTCCTTTTATCGTTCTCCTGTTCAATTATTTACTTATCTTCATTGCTAGAATTTGTTGTTGTATGATAGCTGTTTTTACGGGCGTGACTCGAAGTCACTGTTGATGATGTGTCGGTCGATAATCCTGATAATGAGTCGTTGTTGACACTACTATTTTCTAGAGACCTGACACCGTCAGTCTTTGAATCCCGAACTCAGTGCTTGTTCTTTGGAGGAGGACCAATGCCACTGGAAGTACCTCCCGTAGCAGCTGTCCCGCGACCCATGTGCAATAGCGTAATTTCAAAATAAATGAAAGAATGAACTTCATCGATTGAAAGCTACTGGTTATAATTAACTTTACGGACTTCGGTGCAGCCGACGAAAATGAGCTCACCTTTATTTGTATCAATATGAAGTAGAAAGACTTAATCTAAAATGCATAATCCTCCCCTCCACACACACACACACACACACACACACACACACACACACACACACACACACACACACACACACACACACACATACACACACACACACACACACACATGAGCTCTAATCAATTTCATGCATTGTTTGTTGACATTTATCAGTTTTGTAGCGAATAATTGCAGCAATATTGATACGAAGTCTTTCAGGCCTTCAAGGGGTTCTTCCGTACAATGGATTCATATATGATTTGTATGGACCTACTTTTCGAGAGTCAAAGGTATGAACAGGTGCAGGACGTTTGGGAAACGTATACCAAAGCAGACATTGCAGCGACGTACTCGTTCCCGCGGAGCCTGCAAGTTCTGTATACGGCTGCGTGCTACAAACTGGTAGGACATTTAAACGACAAATTGGTTACAGTATTGTTTTGCTAACCGTCGTCTGTGTATAGAACTCCAAAGACTCGTGCCAGGCAGGTCTGCAGTACATCAGCGACTGTGTCGCAGCGAACGTACTAGTGGTACGAAAAGCGATCTATTTTATGGTAGCACTCTGCCTCCAGCAGAACAAGCCACAGATGGCACTGGAGTTGCTGGATTTTCAGACGATCAGTGATGACTTCACGACCAGCTATACTCTGAGGTGTCTGGCGTTGGTGCGCCTGGGTCGATTCACTGAAGCCGTGGAACTGGTGGAGCAGCTACTGGCGACCCACGACCTCCCGTCGTCGTCGAAGAACATGCACAAGATCTCGTTCGAGGTCATCGAGGAGCTAAGAACGGCTTTGCATCGGGAGAACGTAGACCAGACGCTGCGGGAGAAGTTACAGAGGCTTACGTCGTTCTTGAAATTGGGCATCCATATGGTCGGCGTATCCGTCGATCAGCTTGTCTGCTTCCCGGTGCTGCAAATAAAGCCGAGGAAAGGTCCTGCTCATGCATACGACGACGAAATTTCCACGCCTCCGTTAAGCGATGTATCTCGCCTAGTGATTCAAGATTCGACAATGGATAAAGTCAGAAGCAGGAAGGGCGAAGTAAGACCATCTGAAAGGTACGGCACAGATCCCACCGGCTTATTATTGGACGAGGTACAGGCTCTTAGAAAGAAATGGACTACCGAGAAGGTAACTCATGCCGTTGCGGACAGAATACGACGCGAAGGCCCGTTTGAAACCTGAGATACCGACCAATATTGTTCATGGTCAATGAGTACACTGTTTACTACAAAATTTATATTGCGATTAAATTTAAATTAATATCGTTTTTTAGTGATAATCACTATTGCTACGAATACTGTTGCCACTAATGTGATTTAATGCAACATCGCCAGAA